TGGCGAGGGCGCCACCTGTTGGTGCACCTGGGTTCCATTCCCGCTTTACCTTGAAGAGCTTGAGAGCCTCGGTCTGCAGGGCCTCCGAGGGCAGGGTGGTGAGGGAGGTGTATAGCCCGTCTTTGCTGTAACACAGCATGGGGTGCCTCCAGAGAGGGGAATCTGCCCAAAGCACAGCACCAAGGGTGAGGGAACTTGCCTCCCACCTCCACTCCCACTCTGATTTGTGAAGAAAACAAGGGTTAACTGGAACACACGGACTGCACCGGATTTATCCACAGAGTGGGGGGTATGCAGTTGTACACTGCATCTAGCACGCTCACAAGCACGGCTTACAGGAAGGTGGCTACTGCCTTCTTCGTGGGGCTGCAGTGGGGGTGAGTGTGTGGGGCCGTGGGTACCTGTGTGCAAGCATGTGTGTGCGGGAGAGGCCCCGCCCTGCAGTGTCAGGTATGGATGGACAGTGCCTGTCAGCGGGGAACACACAAGGAGCAGTGAAGGGGTGTGCGGCGTGTGCCATTAGTTCCTCAGGGTCCTGAGAATCGGTAGCAAAATAAAGACCCTGTGATACCCCAGGCTTAGGTTAGTCTAATCCCAGTTTAGGCTTCATTCATTGATTAACAAACTTTTAACCAGCTTCCTTCCTTCCTCAACTCTCTGCCCGGCCAGCAAAGCTGCAGTGAACAATGTAAAACACTGACCCACTGGAAAGTCTGCTTCCCAAATAAACTCCCCCAGATACAGAGTGGTCACCTCAGAATCTCACCAGAAACAGGGGCTCTGGAGCGTGGATGGGAATGCCCTTTTGTGGCTTAGATGGTTTTACAACAGCTTCAGAAACGCTGCTATAAATGCTAACAGAAATGCTTTCTTTGGGTTTCTGACCAAACGTTACCCAGCTGCCACCCTCCAACCCAAGCAGTGACGGCCACCGTTGCCTTACCTGGGTCTCCCTCCCCATCCATCAGTTTCCCAATGAGCTGCTCATAGGCAGTGCCAACCCGGGCACTGCTGCCACCTGCAGCCACCGTGAGGTGGTAAAGCCACGTGTCCTGGAAGGGGATGGAAAGCCATCTGATGAGACTGGAGTGGGAAGAATGGAGGCAAGAGCTCCAGAGAAGCTTCCTTGAAAGGGTCAAGCTCAGGGTAAAGTTAGGCTAGTTTGGCTGACACAAGTCAAGGCCAACAGTCTCTAAGAGGGAAGACCTGGGATCAGGTGAACATGAACCCAAGTTTCTATGCCTGAGGTGCTATCTCATGGCCCCAGTGGAGAGATGCTGGTCACTGAGAGTGAATTCAGTATAAGGAATAGTTCAACCAGGGAATGAATACTAGTTGCCAAAATGTCCAGAAGGAAAGAAACTTGAATTTGGGGAGGTTGAGAAAGGAAAAGGGGAAGACAAGAATCACAGGACCAAGCTTGGCCATGGAGGCCCAGCCCCTTCCCTTACCTTTTCATGCTTGGTGCCAATGAGGAGGTAGGTAGGGCTGTGCTCTCGGGGGTGAATCACCAGGGTGCAGTGGGAGGAAAGCAACTGCCTGGTTCCGCCAGCCTCATAGTCTTCGTCTGAGTCACAGGATCGATCTACTTCCTCTATGCGTGCATCCCGCACAGGCAGATGGCCCAGGGGTCGCTGCGAACATGAGCCTTCCATGAATGGGAGAGCCAGCAGGGAATGGGGGAGTGTCTTCTTTCTGAACCCTCAGTCCCTGCTGGGCTGGGCATCATAGATGTGGCCTGGTCACAGGATGAGGGAGTTAACTACAGCTCCCTGGCTGAGGCTTGCCTGGTGAAGCACAGATAGACCCCCCAGGTGGAATTTGTGGGCCATTCAGTCTAGAGGGATCCAACCAGCTGGCTTCGTGCTTGTGGTGGAATTAGATGGGATAGAGGGAGAAACTGGGGTCTTGCATTAGGAATGTGGTCTGGAGAAAGCAGAGAGTGGGTGCTATCAGGAAGCCAGGGAGTACCTTGTCCTCATGGCTCCGATAGTAGTAGAAGGTTCTCCCAACAAGAGCACACCAGACCAGCTTGGAGTGGCCATGTTTTACCTAGAAGACAGAAATTAAGACAGCATTGTGAGAACCAGGTAATCCCAGAAGTAAATCCAGGACTGGCAAAGAGAAGCCACAGGGAGGCGGATCTCAAAACCCCTGGTCAACTCAGGTCCTTAGTGGAGATGCCACCCAGACGCCCTACTAACAGAACCAGCCCTTTCACAGCACAGGTCCGTGGCGGGTACCCTGTAACACCCCACTCACCCTTGCACTACATGCCGTTAAAAGATTAACCAGGCCAATCAGATGTCCTGTTCCAAGCATATGGACACAGGAAGAACTTGCTAGTCAGCTCTATGGATGTTGAGAGGGAGGGCAAGGCCACCCAGGGCAGGCATGGGATGCTAACACCCCTGGTGCTAACACATAAATCACTAGGGAACAGCAAGTGCACAACAGACAGAGGAGAGTGACAGGAGCACAGAATGAAAGGGGAAGCAGACGCAGAGACAGAGCCAAGACTGTTGAGCTTGCTCATACGAGGGGCTTTGCTTCCTGATGGCGTTCTCATCTAGTTAATGTGCTTCCTTGTTAACTTCCATTTTCTGGGGGTTAATAGGAACTCTGCTTCTCATAGCCAGAAAAGCCCTACCTCAAACACCTTTAGGGCAGGTCTGGGATGTTCTGTCTTTGAAGGGCCACACCTACCTCGCCTACATCACACCCTCCCACTATTCATACTGAGGCACGGTAGATGCAGGCAGGGATGGGCAGCAACTCCTAATAACCTTGAAATAGGTACAAGACATTCCTTTCCCTCCTGTCCCGATGATAACTGTTGTGCTAACAACTCTGGTCTCTGTTTTCATTCACCGACACTTTGTGAGGCCAACCAGCTGATCCCTGTGAGCAAACTCCTGCAGACAGGAGCTGTAAGGAGGGCAAGACCCAGGCTCCTGGCCCCCTGGCTGTCGGGGCCCACGTTCCACCCCACCAGCTCCTCCCATACCTTAGTCAGCCAGCCCTTCACGGTGGGCTTGATGCCACCCTGCGGCAGGGCCAGAGGCCCAATGGCCTGGACCTTCAGCAGGCTCTGCAGTACTCGGATCCACTCCTCCAGCAGGCTGGGTGAGTCAGCCGTCAGGTAATAGGTTTTCTTCTCAGAGATAAGCTGTGGAGGGCAGAGTGGGGGCCAGCGGCAGGGAGACGGGAGGATGGAATGCCAGGGATCTGGCTCTGAGGTGGCACAAATCCCTGAAACCACTGGGCCTTCCTTCTTCCCACCTTGGGACTCCCTCCCTTCTTTTCCTTATTGTTTTCTCCCGGTCTCTCTTACCTTCACTCTGTCTCTTCTTCCTTCCCAGTACTCACAAATTAGGATCACATCCAAATGTGGATGTGATGTCTTTCACACATGCTCATTTTGCCTCATCTTTGTCTCTATCATAGTCATAGCCAAACTTAGCACCTCTTGTGTCTAAAATCCTAGCTGCTAGCAACGCCCACCTGGAATGTCTGTGCACCCTCCCCTCGAACAATTTGGCAACGGGAATTCAGTTCCACTTGACCTTGAGGTTTCCGGATGACATCACTCTGTAAGACAGGAATGGGGAGGAAAATGGTATGAGTCTTCTCAGAGCACATCATTCTCCTTTCAGATCTTACTCCAGGCCACAGGCAGAGGGGAAAGTGATTCCTAAGCTTTCCTGCGCTGTGGTATGATGGGTAACTTGTTCTGGATCCCAGTTCTAGCTAAATGGAGCAATGATTAGAGACATGGATCCTAACCCAGGCCTCAAAAAGCATAGATTGAGCCTTTAAAACTGGGTCAGAAGCCACCAGGTTATTACAGAGCTATAGAACCTTTAAATTCTATCACAGCCTTTAAACCAAGTGTGGAAATAAGTGGCAAATATATCCCCATTACCCTTCCCAGTGTGCCTGCACACCTTACTAATCAGTCACAGCATAACTACTCATTGAGTGATACAGGCCCAGTATCCTCAACATGGTGTTCAGACAGCCACGGACAATCAGCTGGAGTTGCACAAGAGACACTGTCCTTTTGCCTTCCTGAAAACATTACTGTTGGTTCCCCAGGGATGTCTTGTCAAACTGGAGCCCAACATCCAAGGCTTCCTAATTCCAAACTGTACAGGAAGGAGGTGGAAGAGGTAATGCATTCTGTTAGGACAACCCAGATGATGTGAGGGCAGCCTGCGAACAGTTTCTTTTACAGGACCAGGCATTAGGAGAAATCAGTTTCTGAAGTAAGAAGGAATCACCCAGCCAACTCATCTAGAACTGCCTTTGTTCCGTGCCTGATTTGACTCCAAGAACCAGTAACCAGCCTCATGGCCCCATGTAAGGCTCAAAGCCTTGGATGCCCAGCCAGGTCGCCTCTCCCCACCTGCCAGACCTAGCCCTCTGGCCGTGGGCCATACCACCCCTCTTCCAGCCCATCACAGTTCTGAGTTTGGGGTGGGGTCCTTTTGACTACCGTTCTGGGGAAGGAGGGTCTCACCGGGGACTTGTAGTACATAATCTGTCCCTGTCTCAGGACAAACCAGCGCCTCTTCCACGTCTTCACCCGACTCCCCATTTTTAGCAGGTAGCCCGACTTCTCCAGGGACTCCTATGGGGGTGGGAGGGTATAGGGGGAAGAGGGGGAGACAGAAAAAGGGAATCACTTGGGTTTGTAGATGTCATACAGGACAAAATGGCCCAGTTGAGTCACTGCTTTGTCATCAATTAAAAACCAATTCTTGAGTACCTACTATATATATTTTCAGGGTACCATGCCCTACTAAGGGTTCAAACAGAACTAGCCTAAAGCAAAGGTAGTCCCGCTGTGGAAGGGTCCTGCTGGCTGGGGAAGACAACACCTGACTGTGAGAAGGTGGCAGACCAGGAGCTGCATGAGGGAGAGAATGGCCAGGAAGGGCTTTGGGAAGAGCCAAATCTGGACCGGCCCCGGAAGGAAAAGTCAGCTTTCCTTCAAAGACAAGCCAAGAGGAGGAAAAGGCTATTGCAGGCAGCAGGAAGGGAGAGCGAGGTTTGGGGAACAAGGGGCACATCAGCCAGGCTGGGGCAGAGGGGAGATGAAGACACAGTGGCACGGTGGTGTGGGACAAGCACTGGGGAGTGAGTGATGTGGGTCTGTGGCACGGCTCTGAGCCTCAGTCTTCTTATCTGTAAAATGGGGTTAACAGCTCTGAGAGGATGGTGAGGACACACGAGACCGGGCACGAAGAACACTGAGCATGGTGCCTGGCACACTGTAAGAACTCAGCTCTCAGCGTTCCAGGGCCAGCATGGGGTTAAAACGAAGTAACTCAGTGAGCCACAGTGTGCTTTCCCACTGGCCAGCCCTGGTTTGCTAAGGAGATCACCAGGCTCCTTCTCCTTCCTCACAGGGTCTGTGTGTACTTGATTTCATAGCTGCACACCCCCCTGCCCGGTCCACTCCTCGGGGCCTCACATCTGTTGCAGCCCTCTGCCCCAGCCCTCACCATTCCCCTGGGAGCCCTCATCTCACAGGGATCTGCTCCCACGCTGCCCGGACTCAGCCACACTTCCAGCTTACCCCGCCCAGGCCCAGCCCCTCGGTGGAGTAGGACGAGGTGCGCTGTAGTTTGTGCTCAGGCTCTGAGTAGTCACTGTCCAGCGAGCAGGCGTCTGGGGGGATGGCGTAGTCTCCCTCGGAGCTCAGCGAGGACATGGAGACACCTGCTGAAGAAGGAGTCGTCAAGGCCTGGATCCCAAACCTCTCCCAGCTTCCACAGTCCGGGAGCTGCAGAGCCTTCCTCACCGACCCAGGACCTTTGAGTCTGGAGTTCAGGGTCATGGGCAGAGGTCAAGCAGGGACTCCCAGATACACCCACCCAGGGGAGGAGGTCAGGGTCTGCTTGCTATACCCCGCACCTTTCTGCTCCCCCCTCTGTACCTCTCTTGATGGCCCGAGGGCTGCCCAGTCCACTGGTCTTCCTGGACTCAGAGCAGGGGACCGAAGTTCGGAAACTCGCCTGAGAGCTGCAGTCATCGTCAGACCCAGAGGACTCGTCCACAAAGGGTACAGTGCTGATCTGCGTGGCTCTCTGCAAGACAGGCCCCTCCCCCACTGCAGCTCCCCTTGCAAAACAAGCCCCTTCCCATGGGCACTTGTACTCCGGCTCCATGTGCCCAGGGTGTGGCCAGCACAGCTCCGACCTTACTCTCCTCACCTCCATGCTTCCCCTGGGCCTTCGGCCCCCCCACACCAGCCTCTGGCGTCCCCAAAGGAGCTGCCCCATCTAGGCTGAACACCTGGCAGTGTGACCCTTGCTCCCACCACTAGGGGTCCAGAATGCCACTCCATGGGCCAAGTGTGAGACAGGAGATTTAAAAACGTGTGGGGATAAGGAAGTAAGAGGCCATCTCAGTGGGCAAACATTTAAAAAGACCATTTCAATGTTGGTGAAAGTGTGGGGGAAAAGATATTCCGTAGTGTGATAGAACCTCTCAGAAGGTAATTTGGTACAACCTGCCAAAATTTAAAATATGCATATCATTTGCCCATAAATTTCACCTCTAAAATTCTGTCCTATGGAAGTACGTATACATTATATGTAAGTGCACGGAGATATATCTGCACATTGATGTTCATTGCAACACTGATTTTAGAGAAAAACAGAAGACCTAAACTGTCAATCAGTGGAGGACAGGTTAAGGTGGCTATGGGGCATCTATACCAAGGGGTACCAGATAGCCCTAAAAGAGGAAGCAGAGCTGTGCATGGAGGTATAGCAGGAAGATGGGAGTGTGAACAAGCAAAGGGTAGGACGTGTGTAATATGATCCCCGCTGCGTGCAAGCATGCGTGTGACAGAGACACAGACACAGAAGATATTTGCAGATGCATCAGAAGGCCTCACAGAATAAACATTAATGATAGCTGCCTCTGGAGTGAAGAATTAGGGAGAAGCAATGTGAAAGAAGATTTCACTTTTGGCTTTCTTTTTTTTTAATGTTCATTTTTGAGAGAGACAGAGCACAAGTGGGGGAGGGAAGAAAGAGAGGGAGACACAGAATCTGAAGCAGACTCCAGGCTATCAGCACAGAGCCCGATGTGGGGCTTGAACCCACAAACCATGAGATCATGACCTGAGCCGAAGTGGAAAGCTTAACCAACTGAGCCACCCAGGTGCCTCAGCTTTCTGATTCTTCTATAAAAAGTTTTACAAAGTATTACTATCTTGATCTCAAAAACCAATAACAAAAGGAGACAAAAATGTGTATGAAAACATTATGTTGCAGTTAAACTTGATTTTTGTTAAAAAAAATACATAGATATGAAATTAATGTAATATTGTGTGCCAACTATACTCAAAGAAAAATATATAGAGATGTTATGAGTGTACACATAGGAATATATGTTTGAACACATACGAGAAGTTCTGGAAGAAATCCTCCCGGGACAGACGTGTGAAAAGATGGGTAGGAGAGGTGGAGCAGGCATAGGCCTCACTTTAACCTTCCACTTTGCCCATGATCATATGGATTCAAGTTTTTGTAAACATACAAGTTTTATAATTAAGATCTAATAAATAATAAAATTACACATATATGGGTGCTGAGCTCCCTGCCCAGAGTCACGTGTGTGCAGAAGCCTGACCCTAGAGCCCCACTGAATGAATGGGGCCTCCCAGATGGCACACCCCCTCCTCGGATAGCAGCTTCTTACCCCCTTCAGGGCTGTGTAGACAGGCACGGTGACATTCTTGTAGACAAGGCCAGAGAAAGGCCCAGGGGACGCAAGGGCAGGAGGGCTTGAAGCTGGAGGGGGTGGAAAAGAAGGATGAGTTTAACTCAGATGCCATAACTCACTCAGGAGCCTGCGGTAGCAGAGACCTGGGCAGACTGAGGAGGAGATCCATGGAGAGAGTTCTTTGAAAGAGCACTCCAGGTGACAGGTAGGGTGGCAATCCTCAGCATGGGGCTGAGAATTTCTTCAGTCCCACTCGTGTGAAGGTGAGTTACCAACCATGAGACTACGGAGCCCTCACATCACTGTGGGGATTCAGTGGCTGGCTAGTGACTCAGGAGCCAGAGGGCGGGGATGCGGTTCCTTCAGGGGGCTCATCTAAATCAAGGCACAGGGGAGATGTCCCGCCCCCTCCCAGTCCTGGGTGCTACAGAGGGGAAGCCAGTGCAGGTGGGAGGCTGGGCTGGAGGATCCCGCCTCTAACGTCTCCTCCAGCTCTGTAATTGGTGTTCAAGGCCACACCCACTCGGCATGTAATGAGCAACTCCTGTCTGCACAGCTTCCTTTTCCCTTAGCCCTGGCTGTGATTTCACTGAACCTCACCTGTTGGGGGAGGGAACAGGGTGCCTGGATGGAGCACCAGGTGGCCCTCAGAGTCTTCTCCCTGCACGCCCACCCTGTCTACCATTTGGGGCTCACTTGGGACTCACCGCAACAGGTGGCAATAGTTCTGGGAGATGCGTCTGAGAGCCGCATGCCAGCCATAGCCACCGCGTAGATCCGGCTCTCCTGGAATGGAAGACCCCAGAGGGTCAGAGTCCAGCTCTGTGCCCAGCCCAGCACCTCCTGGGTGTGGAGGTAAAAGGATGGCTGTGGACCTAGGTCCACATCCACGTTTGGCCAATTACAGCTGGGGTAATCCTAGGCAAGTTATATTTGAGCTTCCTTTTCCTCAGCTCTGAAGTGGAGATAATACTCACCTGTCAGGCTGTTACAAAAATCAAATAAAATCATTAATGGAAACATCTAACACCTGGAATATAATCAGCGTCCAACAGATACTCAGTTCTTCTCTTGTCTCCACACAAGAAGTTCAAGAGGAGAGGGTCAGTGACCTGTTTCTCTGCATCTTACCCATTTTAGAGGTCTTGGGTCTCTGGCTCTCACCCCTGGAAGCTGGAGTGTTGATAATGAGGAAGTCAGAGCCCCATGCAAAGGCATGCCCTTTTGTAAGCCAGTTGTTTGGCAGCTAGGACACAATTTTTTCCAACACTAACAACGTTACGTTCATGGTTAGGCCCAACCTGCAAAGCTTGTCTAAGCTCACCTGGACCCTGAATCCCGCTGTAGAAGACACATCGATGAGAACCCTCACCCTCAAGTTCTCCTTTACCCCTTGGCGTTCCTGGGTCTGAAAGAGGCCCACAGGCCTAAGGAGCTTTCCTAACGGTTTTGATCAAACAACCCAGAGGCTCTGCCTGTGCTTTTCCAGATCTCTTTTCTCCACTCAAGGCAAAGAGAAACAAAGACCTTCTCAGGTGACAGAAAAGCCACAAGGACTAGGGAAGGTGGGCCTGGCTGGCTCAGGGAGGCAGCGGGACTGGGGCTGGAAGGGCCATGAGGTGCTAGTGGGATGTCCCCCAGAGAGGAGCAGCAGCTCTGGGGCACGTGGGGGAGAGAGGGCTGGGTGGGACCTCCCCTGAGCTGAGCAGAGGGATGGGAAGGTAAGAGACAGGGTGGTGAGAAAGGGGATCCCAGGAAGAGACTGGTCCTGCCAGTCCTGGTCATGGAATTCCTTTAACTTCACAGACAGAATGTAAGCAAAGCTTGAGGGATTTGGGTAAAACAGACTTGGGAGTGTTTCACAAAAGTTATCGACTGACTGCCTAACTCACAAGGTTGTTTTGAGAATCAACAGAAAAATGGCTCTGCATGCTTGAATTGGTGAATCAGTACATTTGCCTCCTTCCCCTGAGAAATGACCTCTCGATTTCCAATTTCTAGTCTTGATTTCCTCTCAGATGGTCACTGCCCAGGTGGTCCCACCTGAGAAGAGAGGGTAGGCACCTATCTTGTGTTTCTTGGGAGCAAGTTACAATGAGGGCTGTGAACAGGAGACAGCTCCTCTGTAGGCTGGTATGGCCAACTGCTGGGTCCCCAGGACCCAGCTGAGAGCAGGGAGGGCCTGTGGGAACACCTGATACCCCTTCAAACCTTCATCCCCAGAGCTTCCCTGATGTTCACACGGGGAAAATGTTGTCCAGAGCATCTTATATTCACTCCCTTTTCCTCTTGTGTCACTCTCCTCCTCCCCCCAACACCCTCTTAACCTGTACAGGCAGAACACAAGAACTGCTCTGAGCCATCACGGTGGACGGCTATATTTTGGCAAAAATGGCAAAAGTGAGCAGCATGTTTTTCTGGTAACACCTGCTAAGCCCTCTTGTCACATCCCTTGCCCGAATGCTCCCTCACTGCCTGCCTCTGCTTTTGGATTCTAGCGCATTTGTAGTTACCAGACAATAATGAAAAAGAGGAGGGATGGTCTGCGGTGGTCCAGCCTGGCCTGGCCCTGCCCTCCTTTCCAACATCCTCTCCACTGTTACCCTGCCCACCCCTTTGCTCCTTCTCTGCCCACTCCTTCTTCTCCCCTCTACCTCACCCTTCCTCTTGGGGAGGTGCCTTGTGTGATGTTCCCATGATCCTGGAGCTTCAGGGACAGGTCAGTAGCATATGGCCTGAAGACTGTCCTAGCCCTCCCCAGAGGCCCCACTCCCAGGCATGGCTGTGTCTGCAGCTATCAGGCCCCCTTGCAGTGATCAGTGCTGGCCAGCAAGCACTGCTAAGGATGTGACCCATATGCCTGGGGTGCTGAGGCTCCCCGGACCACCAGCATTTCAAAAGGAGACCCCGGAAGATGCTGCTGAAAAGGCAGTTCTCCAAACAGTGGTGTAAGGTGGTATCGCCCTGAAGTACCCAACCGCTACCCCCGTACCCTGCTCCCTGTGCTGCCAGGAGCCTGACACTCAGACGTCTCCTACCACCTGCCTCACACGCATCCAGGGGTCCAAGCATGAGTAAGAAGCTGACATCTGCACTGTGATGTCCCCTAAGAGGCAGTACAGCTGGAAGGTGAGAGCTGGGCTCTGGAGGCAGCGGGGCCCACATTTAAAGCCTGGCTCCTCACTGACTGCTACATGACCTTGGGCAAGTAACTAAGTCTGTGGGGACAGCAGTTTCCCATCTGTAAGAGGAACAGCACCCGACTCCTCACACAGGGTCCTGCACACGTGCTGGGCCCTGAGCTACACACTCGACACCCAGTATCTCAACTCATCCTCCACACTCCCTATACAAGCTCATTCATGTCCACCCACCGCCCCCCATTTTTATTTTAACTGTTTATCGTGGAAAATGCCAAACAGACACAAAAGTGGAATGAAGAGAATAAAGAATGACCTCATGTAGCCATCACCCAGCTCTGTAAAGATTAATGCACGGCTGGTCTTGTCTCCTCGGTGTTCCCCACGCCAGATCATCGATTCTGAGGCAATGCCCCCAGACATCACCTTCTCTTATCCAGTGTTACAAGTAAGGAAGCTAAGGCTCGGAAATAACAATCATGGCCAACACTTACTGTGAACCACCACCGCAGGCACCTGCTAGCACATTCAACCCTCACCACAGCCTGGTAAGGGAAGTACTATTATCCCCCCGTTACAGATAGGGAAACCGAGGTGCACAGGTTTAGTAACTAGCTCAGGTGACGCGGTTAGCACTTCAACCCTAGTGGTTTGATTCCGGCACCTGTGCTCTTCACCACGGCACTGTACCACCTCAAAGGGTCGCGGAGATTAAATGAGAAAATGTGCACAAAGCGCCCGGTTTGGTGCGTGGCACAGGCTCCTAAATGACAGCCAGCCACCATCCAGTCACTCCTGGCCCCACCCCCTGCCGGTTGGCCGTGAGGATGAGAGCCTCATCTCACACTTGGCGTGAAGGCATGAGGCTGTGCTTCATGAGCAGCTCTGCCGCTCTGCCCAGCTCCCAGGTTGTGCCTCTTACCCAGGATGGAAACCGGTGCAGAGGGGGTGTGGGAGGTTTGTTGCCCAAATCCACTTCCTCCGGCTCAGCTCTGGGGGCCTTCGGGCTCTTTCTTTCCTCCTTCTTCCCGGCTGGGGGTTGCTCCTCCATCTCCATGTTTTCTGGTTCCTCCCGGAGCTCAGCTCGGGCCTCCACCTCAGGAAGGCTGGAGGGGTGGAGGGCTGAGAGGGTCCCAACCTCAATGCTCACCACGTGGTTGAAGGGCCCAGGGCCCACCTGGGGCTGGCTGTGGTGCCGCTTGGCCAGCTGGATGCTGTCCCGGGGGTTGCTGGGGGCCCGCACCTTCGGGAGAGTCAGGCTGCAGCCCGGACCACCTTCCCTGGCAGAGTTCTTTGTCCCAGGGAGTGTCCCACCCTGAGCAATGACCAGGCCCTCACCCCAGGAAGCTGAACCATGTCTGTGGGTGCGAGACTTCACACACAGCCGGCGGGGAGAGCCCTCTCTTCCCAGACGAGGTGGAAAGGTCTTGGCCTCTGATATTTCTCCAGGATGGACCATGATGGAACTCGAATCCTCCAAGGAAATTCCTGCTTTAGGAACACAGTCCTTGCTCTGCAGAGCACCTGTAGAAGGTGCAGGCATAGCTGCCTTCAGGGCACCCTGGGCCTGAGGACCACGGTCCTGCCCTGTCGGCTGGGTCCCTGGCCCCGAAGAGCCAGAATCCTGCTCTGGGGTTTCCTGGGGGGCCACCAACAACTTTCCCGAAGGTGCCATCTGAAGAGCTGTGGTTGGGGTGAAAAACAGGCATATTGAGAGCTCCCTCGGGTTCGGCCCACGCCCTAACACACACATGTGCGCGCATGCACACACGTACATACACACACAAAGCCCGGCCTACTGACCTTCTAGAGCATCTTGAAGAGCTCCCACCTGCTCTACCAACTGCTGATTACTACTCCTCAGGTGCTGATTCTCCAACTCAAGCTGCCCAAAAAGAAAAATAAAGATTTAGAATACTCAACCTACAGGTTCAGGCATAGAATTCAAAATAAGATTAAAAATCCTTTTTTAAGATCAAATCTTTGAAAAAAGAACACTTGGTGCCCCAGTAATCCAGGGCTGACCCTCCCAGGGAGCCCTGACCTACCCCCTTCCTCTGTGCTAACCAGTTTGGGTTGAGACAGAAGTCTATTTGGCAGCCCCTGCACCTTTTCTAGATATTTTAACCTCTTTAAAAAAAAAAAAATGTGAAATGTAATACACAGAAAACTACATATCACATCAATGAACAGCTTAACAAATGACTGTGAAGTGACTACTCATGTGATCACCACACAGGTCAAGAAACAGGAATCTGCCAGCACTGTCAACAACAAATTACCCCTTCCTGGCCATGTGTTTCTCCCTTCCTACAAAGGCAACCGCTCTTCTAGGTATATGAGACTCACTTCCTTGCTTTCCGGGTTTCATCATCGAAGTATGCACCCTCCACACATTGGCTTAGTGGTGCCCATTTTTGTCTAAAAGGAATTACACAGTATGTGCTTCTGGGTCTGGCTTTTTTTTATTTTTTTATTTTTTTTAATATTTATTTTATTTTTGAAAGAGAGAGAGAGAGACAGAGTGTGAGCGGGGGAGGGCCAGAGAGAGAGGGAGACACAGAATCTGACGCAGGTTCCAGGCTCCGAGCAGTCAGCACGGAGCCCGACACAGGGCTCGAATTCACAAACCGTGAGATAATGACCTGAGCCAAAGTTGGACACTTAACCGACTGAGCCACCCGGCACCCCTGGGTCTGGTTTCTTTTACTAAACTTATTATCTATGAGACCCATCTCATGGCTGCTACATGTTCTTCTGAATAAAACCCAACCCACTTTTTGGAGCACCTTTTAGCAAATATGGAGGCAAACCAGGTATCAGTTCTGTTCCCAAGCACTTGTCGTCTAGCAGGTGACCTGAGATGTGCATCCACAGCAGGACACGGGAGGCAAAAAGAGCCAATACCTCCTGCACGTATGAATCACTTGTGTCAGGACAGAGGAAGAAAAGTTGATGTTTGTCCTCTTCCAAACTTCAAATCCCTTCCCTTTTGTTTTGCTTTTTGTTTTCTGTTGCGAGTATCACTGTAGCTTCCAGCCCCAAGTTTTCCTAAATTAAGCTGCAGCAAGTGATGAACTACAGAAATGAACGGCTAGAGGTGGAAAAAGCAGGACTGGGACTATCAGGGGGCACCTGGATGGTTCAGTTGGTTGGGCATCTGACTTCAGCTCAGGTCATGATCTCACAGTTCATGAGTTTGAGCCCTGTGTCAGGCTCTGTGCTGACAGCTCAGAGCCTGGACCCTGCTTCAGATTCTCTCTCTCTCTCTGTCTCTCTGCCCTTCCCCTGCTCATGCTCTATCTCTCTCTCTCTCAAAAATAAACAAACATTAAAAAAAATTTAAAAAAAAGGCACTGGGGTGGTCAGGGACTGGGGGATGAGAGAATAGAGGACCTAGGGTCTAATGGATACACAGGTGCTGTTTAGGGGTAATGAGAGTTTTGGAAATAGACAGTAGTAATGGTTACACAGCATTGTGAATGTACTTAATGCCACTAAATTGCATACTAAAAATGGTGAAAATGGTAAATTTTATGTATATTTTACCACCACCACAAAAACCACTTGAAAAGAATGGAAAGGACAGAGGAGGAAGTGGGGAGGGTAGACGTAAGGGTGTGTGTGCTTTCAGGAAGAAAATGGCATGACACCTCAGAAGTGAGACTCACTCCTCCCCAAACACAAAGCTAATCACGAGCTCTAGGGAAGCCCAAGCACCACAGGAGGAAGGGAAAGGTGAAAATGCCAAGTCTCAGGGTTTAAGCTAAATGGAGGACACATGGTTAACACAACGGAGGTCAGTCAAGGCCCCACAAACAGGAGGCAGAAAAATGCTGGGATGGAGGGACCCCACTCGCATTGCATGTGC